ATAATAAAAGACCCATTTTAAAAAATTATTATTTTTAATTATTATTAAAAATAATTATTATTGTTTAAAAAAATAATAAAATTAAATTATTATTATTATTATATATAATTATTAAAAAAAATAGGTAGCTTATTTTTGTGTACAAGAAAAGATAAGCATGGTTATATATATATATATATATATATATATATATATATATATATATATATATATATATATATATATATATATATATATATATATATATATGTTGATTATTTGGTACATTTAATGAATAATTAAAAAGAAAATAAAAAATGTGAGTATAAAAGCACTATCCACGGGTGAAAAAAATGAGTGAGAAGAGAAATAGAGAAGAAGAAAGGGAGAGAGAAAAAAAACATAGAAATAATCTCTGTAAAATTTTGGTATATCATCTATAATTATTATGGCAGGGAAAATATATATTTGTCGTTTTATTTATTTTATTTTTAATTATAGTTGCTTAGTGAGATATCTCTAATTTTATTCTATTTATTTTTTTATATTTATTTTATTTTCAATTATGCATTGATTTTATTTATTTACCTTTAGGTACAGACTGATCCTATTTTATTTACATAAGTTACACACTGATCTTATTTTATATTTATTTATCTATCTTTAGTATTGCATTAGTCTTATTTTATATATATTTATTTACCTTACGCAGGTCATTTTTTATATTTATTTATTTACCACTAATTTATATTTATTTTCAAATATGTTGGTCTTCTTTTATATTTATATTTATCTTTTGTTCTGCATTGATTTTTGTCTATTAATTTATATTTATATTATTTAATTATTTTTACATTTTGTTAAATAATAATATTTATTTATGAAGATTTGATGACATTGTAAATGAAGATGAGACCTTGAAGATTGAAATAAGTAAATATTTTCATAATTTTGAGCATATTTATCTTAACTAGTCAAGATTTGAATTTAATTTAAATCTTCATAATATAAAACAAATGGAATATGTTAATGAAATTGGTTTTATATATCATTTTGATATTATATTATTTTACATTATAATTGTTTTCATTTCCTTATTTTTACCTATTGTATATGTTATAACTAAAAATATCAACCTAAATAAATGGAAGTGGTAAACTGAAAGATAAGTATCATTGATAAATCAATAACTTTTAAAAAGAAAAATACTTGTCAATTTTAATAATTGTTTTTGATATATACATATAAATGTATAAACATTTATTTCATGTCTTACGTTTGTCAAGATTTAATAACATCTCTTAAAATATAGTTAAATTAATAATTTAATAAAAATCGACGTTACATTATATGATATGAGAGCAACTTTTCATATGTGATATATGAAATGAGTTTATCATGACATCTTATGAAGCCTAACTTAATTCTATATGACAAATAATATAAGGAACAATGAATTAATAGAAGTGGTACAAGATATCAAAGACATGAGTACTGCATTATTAAGGAATCAAAGACATGAAAGAACTCATGAATAACAAGGTTTAGTTGAATTTAGGATAAACAAACCTCCACAATTCTCTGAAGGTTATAACCCAGAAAATGTTGAATTGTGGATTAAAGAATTAAAAAAAATATTTTCATTTATAAATTGACTTGACAACCGAAAGGTGAATTACGTTGTGTTTATATTAATAAGAAAGACTAAATATTAGTGGGATAGTAATAAGATATTATTAGAAAGTAGAAGAATAATCATTACTTGAGAGAGGTTCAAAACAAAATTTTTTAACAAACATTTTTCCAATTATGTGAGAAGAGCAAGAGAAATAGAGTTTATGCAATTGAAATAAAAGAGTATGTCAATAGGAAAATATGTCTCTAAGTTTGAAGAATTATTGAAAAATTCTACGTTTTTTTATCACCCTATCAAAATAATGAAGTGTATAAAATTTGATGATGGACTTAGGTCTGAATTGAGAAAAACAATGAGAATATTAAAAATTTCTAATTTTACTACGCTTATTCACATGTTTAGAGTTTTATAGATTTTGGAAACAATCATAGTAACATACCAAGATATTTTGGACCCTAATCAAATAAAATGAGACAAAATGAGAGAAAATCCTACAATTGCCCCCAATAGAGATCTTAAGCCAGACAAATTTCTACAATAAATTTTAATAAACATATAAATAATCAATTTAAGTATTTTAAATGTGAACAAAATCATTATGCAAAAGATTGTCATCTTATATGACATGTTTGTTTTAAGTGTGGAAGACCTGGTGATATATTTTTTTAATGTTGGCAACAAAAATCACATTCTAATCCTTTTGCACGAATAACAAGACCTCCAACATAAGAGAAAGGAGACACAATAACTCGAAACTGAAACCTCTTAAAATAATAATGTAATTCAAGGTATGTGTTTCATTAAAGGTAAAACTTTAAATGTATTTTATGATTCAAACCCAACGCATTCATTCATTTCTAATGATTGTGTTTAATACCTTGAATTATCAACTTCTTTTGTAGACACTCGTTTAATTATTTGAACTCTCACAACTAAGTTTGTAATTACCAATAAAGTTTGTCTAGATTGTCCTCTATTCATTAAAAATAGAAAATTTCTTATAAATTTAATTTGTTCACTTTTATGTTAATTAGATGCAATCTTAGGTATGAACTAGTTATCTTCAAATCAAGTCTTTCTGAATTGTGTGAAAAAAATTGTAATATTTTTAAATTATGAGGATCTTTTACCAACTCCACCTTTAAAGAATGAAGTTTAAAGATATTTGTTATTATCTTTTATGAAAGTAAAAGAGAAAGTCGATTTAAAAAATGTAGCAGTTTCAAAATTTTTAATAGAATTGATATTTGAAACTTGACCAATTTCTATATTCTCATATAGGATGTAACCCTTTGAACTAAGTGAAGAAACAATTGGAATAATTACTTGGAAAACAATTCATTCGTCCTAGTGGGATTACCTTAGGAACCCCTATTTTGTTAATTAAGAAGAAAGATGAAAGTTTTAGGTTGAGTGTAGATTATCAGTTAAATAAAATCACCATAAAGAATAAATACTTTCTTCCTATAATAAATAATTTAATAGATTAATTAAGAGGAACTACTGTGTTTTCTAAAATAGATTTCAGGAAATTAGAGGAACTATTGTATTTAGAACTAGGTATGATCATTATGAATATTAAGTGATGACTTTTGGTGTGACCAATGTTCCTACAATATTCATGGATTATATTAATATGATTTTTCATCCATTTTTAAATTATTTTGTAGTGATTTTTATAGATGATATTTATATTTATTCTAAGACTCTTAAGATCATGAAGAACACCTTCGGATTGTTCGTCAATTTTTGAAAGAAATAATTATATGTTAAATTATCTAAGTGTGAATTTTAGTTAAAAGAAGTGAAATTCTTGAGTTGATTTTTAAAGGAGTTTGAGTAGATTCAACTAAAGTAGAAACAATCATACCATGGAATTCACAAAAAATAGTGATTGAGATTCATAGTTTCCTGGGTTTTACATGGTATTACAGGAGATCCATTAAAGAATTTTCTAAAATAGTTATATCTTTAATGCAAAACCAATTTATTTACCTTCAATTACGTATTGATCTATTTTTATATTTATTTATTTATCTTCAATTTCACACTAGTCTTATTTTATTTACCTCCAATTACACATTAGTCTTATTTTATTTATCTTTCATTACGTATTGGTCATATTTCATCTTTGTCCAATTTCGCACTAGTCTTATTTATATTTATTTATCTATCTCAATTATATATTGATCTTATTTTATATTTATTTATTTACCTTTAACCTCTTTTATATTTATTTATTTCCCTTCAGTTATGTATTGATCATCTTTTATATCTATTTATTTATTTTCGATTACGTACTAGTCCTCTTTTTATTTATTTTTATTTATTTATTTATTTATTTTCAATTCTTATATTTATTTATTTATCTCTAATTATACATTGGTCATTTTTTTATATTTATATTTATCTCCAACTATGCATTTATTTTTGTTTATTAGTTTATATTTATATTATTTAATTATTTTTAAACTTTTTTAAATAATAATATTTATTAATGAAACTTTGATGACATTACAAAAATTAAACTTAAAAATTGAAATAAGTAAATATTACTTAAAATATGATTAATTTTATACTCATTTATTTTTATTAGTCACTACAAATTTAATTAAAATTATCTTAATATAAAACAAATAAAATATATTAATAAAATTAAAAAATTAATTTTAAATATTATGTTGAGATTATATTATAATTATTCTCCCTTTCCTATCTTTATCTTTCCTATTTTTATCTATTATACATCTTTCCTATTTTTATCTATTATACATGTTGTAACTAAAAATATTAACATAAAAACGTGAAAAAACAAATATAAATAATAAATCAATCACTTTTATTAAATAAAAACTACTTGTCAATTTTATAATTATTTTTAATATAAAAATAATGTAAATCAGTAAAATTTAAATAAATATATAAATATTTATCTTATATTTTATATTTGTCAAGAGTTAATAAAAAATAATATCTCTTTAAATATAATTAAATTAATAATTTAATAAGAATTTACCTAAAGGATAACGTATGTCTTCCTTTCCATTTAAAACCCAATTTCCAAACTCACCCTCAAAAGCATTAAGAACAAAACCTCCTGGAGGAGTTTTGTTTTAATGATCATAGAACATAATCAGGAAAAACCATCCCAAAGTATGATTTTAACAAAATAATCCACATTTAAGATATGTACATTTAGATAAAAGATACAACTTGTCAATCAAGATCGAATAAGAATATAAGTATATATACAGACAGTAGACATTATCTTTTATTCAGTTCCATCCATCTGGTTATTTGTGTCGTTTCCCGTTCCACAAATCGTCATCGGGAGTCATGCTCTACCGGCTTCAATCAAACATATCGTAAATTCTAGTGCATCCTTTTAACTTAAATCAAAGCCAGCATCGGCATTTATGGCATACAATAATTTGGTTTCCAATTGCTCCTTACTGCAACATGTTTGTCAGGGGAAATAGTTTAGAAGAACCACCCGGAACTACTTCAACAATAAATAATATGAAGCAAGACGAGATGACAAGTGAAGCAAAAAACTCCTTTGTATTATAAATAATATTTAAACTCTGTTGTATTATTTTTATCTCAATACCTATTTTTCCAAAAAAAATTAAAAAAAAAAAAGATTATTCCTATCAAGATTCAAATCTACCAAAAACACATCAATACAAATTAAAAAAGAATTTATGCAGGATCCGTCTTTTGCATGAAATGGTCTCCATACCCTATATCTTGAACTTATATTTTTTAGATTAAATATGAAACTCAATGCCTGTAGCACTAACCTTAGCCCTGTTCTTTCACAGACTAATTTGTTACAAGCACAATACCAGCCATTTAATGCTCATTATCTCATACTTTTTACAGACTAAACAGAATCCCTTAATTTTCCTTCAGCATTATCAGTGCGCATATCTCCAATTATGGCTAATCTAAAATTCTTGTAATTACGAAAACAATTCCATGCCAGTACTGCAAAGGTAAACTAGCCTAGGACAAACCTTGTATAAGGCGGAAGCTTTAGTAGATTCATACAAGTAGCTGATGTCGGTAATCGGTCATGTGATTCCTCTGCGGCATTGCTGGAAGCCCTACAAGAAGAGACATTAGACAATTCCAATCTGTCATCCTTGTCCAGGTATGCTTAGTAATAGAAGGAAAAGAAAACCACTTGAGTAATAGTGTGTAAAGTTAATGCTAGAATTAAATATCAGAACATAATTTCTGGAGCAGCATTCACCTTTGTATACAAAACAAAGGTTCAAGATTTCGGAAACCAAGCAATGGCCCACGAGAGCAACCTGTCACAAACCTGTAGAGATGATAAATTTATTATTCATACTGAGATCTGTCAATTAAAAGGGCTACCGATTCCTGTATCTATGCATTTCTTACTTCAAAAATTTCTTCCTGTTTTCCAATGAAAAACCTTTAAGAACTTCCCAAAACATCTCAATTACATAATGCTCCTACAGAAGAAACGACATGTTAGAATTCAATAGTTTCAATAAGAATAAGGCCTTTTTATGCCCAATGGGGTGTGGCCCTCGTTATCAGAAAATTAATGATTGAGTTTTGAGAGGTAAAACTAGCAATGTATTTAAACAGAAAAATGTAAAAATGTATGCTACATGGTCCACAAACTCCTCATGTAGAACTTGTTGAGATTAAGATGAAGAAATAAACACATCTATTTGTTTTTTACTGCCTAGCACAAAAATGTCAGGGCTTACACTATGATAGCCTCCTGCATAGTTGGTGTGCAGCCGCAGATCATCAATATCCAAGCTGTCAAGTGAACCTGATATCAGAAGCTGTGGAAAAGAATGATGTCAAGCAAGTTGGACTTGGATGAAACATGGAAGTGTAGGATAAAAGTACTTGAAAATCACACCCAAAAAGAATGGCAATAATAGATACAGAAGTGTAGGATAAGATTTGGTTAATGTTGTAATAACTACGAGTCATTAGGAGCAAAATTACAACTTAAGATAAAATTCAGTCAAGTGCCTTTCTAGGTTTGACAAGGTTAGATTATTACATTTCGTCTGTCTGTTAAATACATCCTTAATTCCCACCACACGAGCAAGTATCAAAACCAAGAATAAAGTGGGAAAAAGAGAACAACATAGCTTTCAAGACGCAAAAGTGGACAAGATTATTTGAAAATACCTGAAGTTCATGTTCATTAAACATATCAATCCAATCCTTCTGAATAAGTTGCTGAAATCCCCTCAAGAAATGTGAACTTTGTTGCCGTATCTGAAAGCATAATTATTTTTATTATGTAATTGAAACATGGGATTGATTTGCAGCACAAGATGCAATCGAATTACTTTGTTCAAAAAAACTTTACCTGAAAATTCAAGCGATGGTTGGCTACAAGATGAATGAAAGTAATAACATTCTCATTAGTGACACGTAGGTTCCTTCCTCCAGGAAGCAGTTCCTCCTCTGTTTGTTCTCCATATTCATTATTTACGATAACAAAGTATAGTTCCAACTCCGAGATGTCTCCCTTATAATGCTGTTAGTCAAAACAGATTGGAAGGGTAAAATTGAGTTAATAAGAAAATAGCAGATTCCCATAGAAAAATATAACATCTTGACAAACTACACATCACCCCAAGCCCAAAACCTGAAGTCCACACATTTGAAACTTGACAAAGTTCGTGTTTCAAATGACCAGCAAAGCATTTAACAGCTGGACGGACAAAAAACCTAAATAGGATATAGAAACAGGAGAGAAATTTATTTTAAAAAATCCAAGAAGTTCATATCAGATTTTTCCAAGCCTAAATAACGGAACGAAGATTCCAATATTCATAAAAGGAATTACATGAGTAAATAAAGTCAGAATATTAAACTAGACAATTAAGTTGTATATTTGTTCTTTACCTGAATATATATATATATATATTGAGAAGAATAAGAGTTGCCTTATGACTGAGGCAGATGCAAATAGATGAAAGTCAGAGATAGAAGTGACGTTACCTTGAGAAAAATGAGATGGCGATATAATTCTGGGTCCAAGGAGGGCAAGTCATTCAAATAGTTGTACCTGGTATAAGGGAAACTAAACGTGTAACAAATTGTGAAATAGATAATCATATTATAAGCATGCCAGTCCCTACATAACACATACCACTACCCTTGTTCCCTTTTTAGTGTCTTTTTCTAAGGCTGTAGCATGTGAACTAAAATGTATAATTAATGTTCTCATTTTTATAAAATTTTATACACCTTCCTATTATACCCTTTATCTATCTTATTCATGTCACCTATTATCTTCAATTTCACGAGAAATGCCTAAAGTAATTAGAAATTAGGTTTGATAGCAAGTGTATAATTGGCAAAATATTATCTTGAACTTTTAAGATGTAAATTAAAAAGGAACAATTCTTTTATCAAAAAAATATCACAGTGAGAAAAGGACTAGACGCTGTAAAAGGACTTCAACGAATTCAGAGACAACTCATTTGCTACTAACACCACCTTGGCAATATATAGACATTTTTTTTTACCTAAAATATATATTTAATCCATGAGAAATATTTCAATAAAAGGGAAAAGGAACAATAACCTTCTTACCAGAGTCTATACCATATAAATAATTTAATATGCTAAAATCGGTGTTAAAAGTTGAACTTTTGGCAAGTTTGTTTTGATTTTTTATAAGATTCAGTGATACAGCTATATTAACTGGAAGTGCACAATTGAATTCCAGAAATACAATTTTTCCATCTCCAACTATAAAATATGAAGTCACATCTGTGAATCTCATACCAGTAAAAAGTGGTTGTAAGCAACAAAAAGAATGCATGAAAATCCAAGGTTCAAGCATTGAACTAATTCAATTTAAATGAACAAACTACCTAAAGCAGAGCAAGAGACTCCTTGAGTCTTACTTTTGTTTCAATTTGCTCAAGAAGAATGTAGCAAATGGTATATCAACCAGAATCCCTTCAAACATAGCCTGCACATGCAAGTAGTAATTGTGAAGCAAAGTTCCAATTAAATGCAAGCAGTATAGGAATAAGATGCAGACCAGTTCAAACTACATGGCAGAAAAGATAGAATAGCATTTTGAAGTAAATTCAGGCATCTATTGCAATTTTATTAGTAGAGAGAAATTAAAAAGGGAATGGGAGAGAATGAGAAGATACCTTTGCAAGAAGAGTACCAAGGAAGTGGAAAAATTGGAAATGTTGTTCATGTATCATTCCAGATCCAGGATTAGGATAAAGCAGGTGATCTGCTGTTTCCTGGATACATTGCCATTCAGTATGACAAGAATCCGTAAATCACAAGGAACAACCAAAGGGGTAACAAGGGCAGGATTATAAAATGAAATAACTTCTGATCACTCCACCAATCCAATTGCAACCATATTCACACTCAGTAATACTTCAATAACCTTGATTCTTAGTGCGGTCAAATTACATACAGAGTAGAAAATAACCTTCCCGTTAAATATTAACAATTGCACAACATTTCTGACCTTAAATAATCCATACTGCACATCAAAGGCTGCACGTGTGATGTTCTCCATGAAATCTTTGAATATTCCACCACCATCAATTCCAGCCTCTTCAACTCCAAATTCATTGACAAAAGTCACACGGATCTGCAAAGCAGCAAAAAGCAACCACTCCAACATAAAAGGAGGACATACTAGTTCCTTTAAAGACAAGAAAATAAGAAATGAATAATAAATATGTATGCCTTGGAAAATATGGAAAAGGATTTACCGATCCTCGAAGGCTATCTTCTGTCAACTGACTCATTTGATTATAAGCATCTTCCAAAATGCGGTCTCGTTTTATTCTGAACCGTCTAAATACAGCCTGAGATCCATGCCTTTGCCTTACAGCAGCTAGTTGAGACTAATGAAATAATAAATAGATTATAGTCACTGAGAAGTGTAAATCAATATATTAATCAACCAGTGACATGGAATGGTATGCAGAAACTCCAAAACATTCGTTGCAGTTGCAGTTGCAGCTATCTTAGGAAATAGATAATACAAGGATAACCATAAATAAAACCGAAGACAAAAAAGAGATTCTTACAGAGAATATTTTAACCCTGCTCGTAAATGGTATCAAGAAAGGGGCCTGTTTCAATATTTCATTTGCTCGTGTATTTTCTATTAGAGCCTGTGGAAAAAGGATTATATTATACAAATAGAAATGGCAGTTTCCATCCCATAACCATGATCAATGAAAGAGAGAATACCTGAGAGATAAATAAGTCATTCACACCATCAGCATGGAAGTTACTGGGGGATGTAAACTGCCGTCTATTGTTCCAATCTTGCAGCTGGAAGAAATTCAGAATGCAAATTAGAAATATAATAAAGACTCATAATATGGTTATTGGTGACATATCATATGCATGCCTCTTAAAAAACAGATAAAGAAGGATCTTTAATACAGAAAGTGGGACGGTAAAGGCTTGTTTTAATTTTGTTTCTATTATCAAAGATTTTTTCAACAAATAGGGAAAAGGAAAGCAAGATGAAAATAAAGTGAATTGTCCGTGAAACCAAGAATGAAAGCAAAATATTTTCTCAAACTAACAGACCCGAATAAAACTGGAAAGCCTTGGTATCTCTTTTGTTTGTGTTGATAGAAAGAAAAAAAGAAAGTAGTAATAGTGAGAATGGAGAGAAAGGCAAAAGCATAACAAAAGACAAGATATGTTCCCCCAAAAAAGAAGAAGGAAGAAACAAAAGATGGAAAAAAGATTAAATAACACTGTCCAGTCTCTCTCTGTTTGCAAGTTAGACAAAAAATCCTGCCAAACACTCATGAGCATAGAATAGAAAAGCTATAATATAAACCTATCCTAAAGACAAACCATAAGATGCCTTTGGGATATAGATGTTGTTTTCCTGTTTCCAATCAAAACGTGACAGGGAACAGTAAATAAGATACACAACATATAAACTGTTTCTACCTGGGAGAGAAGCTCGGAGACTACAATGCTAACCCTCTGTTGAATGGCCTGAACAAACTGCCCCTTACTAGATGAACTAACTGGAACTGATTTTACTGGATTAGCAGATGTGGTATGATTCACCCACAGTAGCTGCCACAGAACCTGTGGGCACAGAAAAACTATCCAGAATTAATTGTAGTGGCAAAGGTCACATTTGTATCTAGAGCTTCTGCAGAAAAATATGTTTGCAACACATCCAAGATCAATGCCACCAAATTAAAATATTTAGCTTTAACTCAATCAATGTTGTCAAACTCGCGACTAGACCTGTAAACTTGCTCAATGTTGCAAGTTTTGATGACCAAGTGAGCAAACTCGGTGGTTGGCATGGAGATTTTGCAGATTGTTGCCGGATCATGATTTTGCCCCCAAAATAGAAGGATTGTGGGTCACATCGATCCTGAATGGAGTCTGTGTGGTTTGGTTTTCTATAACTCAAAACAAGTAGCCCATGTCATGTTTGCGCTTTCCAGGTCAAGTTCTATGACCCAACTTAAAAATTAAGAAACACAACCCCATTTCCCCTAGGATTGAATGATAACCATTTTGCCATCTCTGCAATTGCAACCCCAACAAGCTCCATTACTCTCCTATTGCCATAGCCAGTGGTCATCAACCCTAGTATCTCCATGTCTGACCCTCCTATCACCATCCTCACACCGAAACTCGCATCACTGTCACTGTCGTCCAAAACTACCATCACCGTCGCTGAAGGTTCCATTGATGTTTGTGTGACCATCACCATCTCCAACTAGTAAGGGTGCATAGTGTGAACATATTGGAAGTGTTCAGATTTGATATTTCTTTGTGGTGTTTCATTCTATTATTTCTTCTTAATATTTTGTTATGTTCTTCATTATAAATTTATTAGTTATTATGAGTTATTTTATAACTTATGAACGCATTTTAAGATGCGCTATGTAGTGGATCTTAATATTTATAATTTATTATGAGTTAATTTTATTGCTTGCATTAATTTTAATGTATGTGTATGTCTATAAATATAATTTTCTTATATGCGTAACTCTTACCAGTTGAGTTACGACTTTTATTCCCCTTCTGATCCACTATCGATCCTTGAGTTTGACAACATTGAACTCAACTACTTGATCCATTCATGTAATATCTTGTGTTATTGAACCACAAAACTGTCATGAATTCTCCCTACAAAAATAAATCATAAAAAACATCTACCTGTCTCAATATAATGATGAGTGTTCTTATATCCTTCAGCGAAAGTGGTTTCTCCTGCTCGTAAAATTCTTCATTATCAACAATCATAAGCATGTGCCTGATAAGAGAAAAACAGGTTATGGATTAATGATCTAAATCACATAGAATATTGTTGAATAATAATATTTGGTGAATTGCTTGAGTGAAAAAGCACTCAGCAGGCGCATATTTATATTTATATTTATTCAAGACTTAAAATACATAACTTTTTATTTTACCGATGAGAAACTCCTCGTCTTAAATTGCAAATTGTTCGGTTTTGCCCCAATTGAAACCATAAATTTGATATGTACAAACGAAACAAATACAAAACTGATGAATCTACTGATGAATCTGTAAAATTATGTAACTTCCTAGACTTTAAATGCTAGTCAGAAGATCCATTTCCAACAATATATTCAGCATAAAAAAATAATTAGAAAAAAAACTCAGGCTATGGTGAGGAGAGGGAAAACTTTCAAATCACCCAACAAGCATTTATTAAGACAATGGTACAAAAAGTCTTACTTGTAGACAGGACAGAATACAGCCAGAGGTAACAGCCAACCAGGTGCATCATTTGAGAGGTGTGATGACCATTTTTGGTTCTCATGACACCGCTTCATAAAATTCCAAAGCGTAAGAACAAGTTCAGTTCTGTATGCAAGCACTGTCATAATCCGTTCAAGTGGCAGCTTGCTGAAGGTAACATGCAAAAACCCACAAACCGCATCAACAGCAGTAACTTCTCTATCATTGGGTCCATAATCTGAACCATTGACAGATGAAATGTCTTTACAGAGAATATTTGTCTGCACATGTTAAAAAGTAAAAATCTTGATCAAATCTCAAAAATAAATGTCAATGAAATTTCTAATCAAATGAGACTCTAGATACAAATGTCATTTGCAAGAAGGCATACCAGTTGCAGAAGGAAGCGAGGATTTACAGCATTATTAATTTGCTGCTCCAATTTCCTATCTAAAGCTATTTCCATGACTTCATCATCTCCAGTAATATCATCCTCAGCAATTATAGAACCTGACATTACCATTAAATAACTACTTAGAATTTAGAAATAGATTGAACCTATTCCCAAAAAGCTAACTCAAGAGGGGAGGATTACAAATTCATTATAAGGAGTACTCCACCTATATAGCTAACTGATGTGGGATCTTAACACACTCCTAACTAATGACCAGACATTTGCAGCACTAAGTTTGTCAGACTGAACATATACAAGTATCTCTACAAGAAGATTAGGCATGGGCTCTAATAACATACTATAACTGAGAACAAAGTTGACTTAGCCACAAAAGCTAGCTCGAGGGAGAGAATTGTCCAAGTCCTTATAAGTAATACTTCGACCACATACCTAGCTGCTGCAGTCACTTTTAATAGAAAAATAAAATAGATGAGTTTAAGAACCAATGAAGTATATTTCAGAATTTGATTTAACGCAGTTACTTTTAATAGAAACATAAAAAAGATGAATTTTAGAACCACTGAAGTATATTTCAGAATTCGATTTGATGAAGTAACTAAGCCAGCTGCTGTGTTATGTTCAGGTATAATCCAAAACAATAACTCATGCGAAATTTTTGAAGGTAAGACGGATGCTTCTAGAGTTATTTGTTTAAGGTTCCTGGTAAAAAATGGGGGTGTTCTTCAACGTTGACCATTGGAGCAGATTCTCATCATACACTTGAAAGCTTTATCAAGAATAAGGAGACCATTTTGCCACTGCATAATTTTAGCAGTTTTCAAAAGTCAAAAGTATTTTATTGGAGAATGATGCCTGCGAAACTATGAAATTCACTTTGCAACAAAATTGGGCTTTTGGTTTCTATTCGGTGCCCTACCCATGGCTGTCTCAAATCTCAATGGGGGGCTTTTTAGCTGATATGAAGAGACTAGACTCTTTGTAGCATTTCAGGGCCCATAGACTTGCTTTTTCTTGGAAAATGTTGTAGGACTCATCCTCCCCCGGATGTATATCCCTGTTATTCTTTTTATAATATATTATTTTATCACAGAATAAAAAATATGATAGTATTATTTAATACAGAAGTAAAATCTTCAACTAAAAATAGAGCATACAGTAGGAAAGCATACTTTCTCTACCATTGAAAGTTTTCACAGATGGGAGTGCCTCCAGCAAAAATGTGGTGACAGCCGCAAGGTCTACTGCCTGAAAGGAAACATTGATCAGCTTCAAAACTGAGTTAAGTTGTTAAGCGCAAGTTTCAAACTCAATTGTATGAGTGCATCAAATAATGGTCATCCCCACAAACAACAGTTTCACTTTCAAAGGCAAATCTCAAGAAAAGAATTTGTCTAAAATGATCTAGATATGCAAGTGTTAGCCCATGATCCTAAATTAGTTAGAAGTACATTAATTAGCATCTTGTGTACATGTTAGAATATCAGTCAACTTTAGTTATTAAATTGATTACAGTTAATATATAATATATGCTAACTCTATTTTCTTCAGTTAGACCTTGATTAGCTCACGCACTAAATGCACTCATACTCATGCTACGTATAAGATGGTCTAAGCGTAATAAATATGCACATGCAATTGTCTTATAATCAGTCACTATTTCTGCAAGAATGTAATCTCACCCACCCAATCTCTAAAGGTAGATCAACACTTTGTGGGAAAACTATTTGGAATTCTAACCATTGAGAAGTAAACAAGAGTCTGTACAAAGTGGAAGAAAGGATTTCAATGCTGATCATTTAGCACTTCTCTGCCTTTCCATTTGAGTTCTACTAGAACATTAACACGAGCCCATGACACAAAGTACAAGCATGACTTCTATTTTATACTGTAACTTAAAGTACACAACACTAAACTGGGACCCCTAAAGTTTTGTAACTCTTTGTAATTTATGATTTTGACCCCCCAACTTAATGATCATTTAATATATTTATTTGTATATTTACAATTTTATTCTCTCATCACTCCTAACACTCCTATAATTTATGATTTTGTCTCCTCAAACTTAAATATTATTTAATATATTTATTTATACATTTACAATTTTATCCTCTCACCCTTTCATCTTCTTTCACCCTTTTATATTTATTTATTATTTATTAATAATATATTATTTGGCCCTCCCAAAATCAATAGTCAAGATCCACCACTGAAGTATCTTATCTTGTATATATGGCCAATTGGCCGCATTTATAAATGGCAGAAAAGAAAATTAAGTTATCAGGACATTTTGTAATAATTATGAGTCTGAATGTTGTGTAAAAGACAATACACAACATCACCACATTTGATAAATTGTAAAAACTTTGTTCATTACCACCATAACTAAAATCATTTTAGCTGAAAGTTAATGGCCCATCATTGCACGAGAAAAGTGAAGAAATACATCCATCATCTTATAGAATAGTAAAACAATTTGATTCTTTCTTGTACTCTTTAATAAAAGGTACGGAGTATGATCCTAAAGAAATAGACGACGTGCAATCCACTCCTTGTAACTCTCTTCTAATAAAACCAATTTTATGCAAGAATAGAACTGAAAGAAAACTCTAGTGGACATCATCAAATCAGGTTTAATAGAAGTAAAAATCAATGTTATAAATGCATATCCACAGTCTCTTCACCTAGACAAGTCAAAAGGGGACATGAATGAGGCAAGTTATAGCAGATGGCATACTGCAGTAAATAAGCTCCTTACCATATCAAATGAACAGGCAGGATAAGACAAAGCAATTCCAGCAGTTTCTAATACATTTCCAAGCATACAAGCATGGCTAGGAAATTCATTTGATATATCCTTTGGTAGCAAATTGATCAGATTTTGCCCAAACTTTGCCATTTGATGAATGTGAAATTGGCTCAGGTCCTCTGCGGCAAAAATCTGTGTACCAAAGCAAAGATATTCAAACATTTTACAAGACTTGCCAACATTTAAATATATAAGGTCTGGAATGCTGGCAAACATACACAGCATTCACCAGCATTAAAATGTATAGAGACAGAGAGACCTTTATTACTTTTCGTTTTTTCCTTTAACATTTTTGAAAAGGACAGACATCTTTGATGACTTACATTTCTTAAGCTTCCACTTATTACAAAGAAAAGGAACCCTATCAAATAGAATAAATGGAAAACATACCTTTTGTAAATTTGGAAAAAGATGCCACAAAAAAGGAATTGTGATGATCTGAGATGCAAAGCTATATCTTAGATTAATATGTGAACAGATACATGGCTTCTGACCAACATGACATATTACTGCCATAAGCACACGCTCCAATGATGAACCCTTGCCGACAGAAACATAATTTTCTGCATTATCCTACAGGGAATCACTTGGGTAGTTTAAGCATTTGGATGGTGAATGACATAACACATTATGAAATGGAATAGCGAAACTAGAGTGTATAACATAAACAATATGGCATGGATGGAGTAAACAACTTATATTGTATATTTAATCAATTGGCCTAATTTCTTTTTCTGGTGAGGTAGGATGCCCCATTAAGATCTAGTAGGGGAAGAGGGAAATTGGTTAGGGGTACCCCCCCACACACTAAAACCCAAACACTACAGCTACTTGGTGACTGCAAGAGGTGTCACAGGATTACAAAATCATTAAGCTAGCGTTTATTTGCTAAATTGATTATTACACATAAAAGAATAAAATAGATTCAAAAGTTAATAAGTGAGTTCTGGTACAGTTTGAGTGAGACTTTCTTCAAACTCAATAATGGCTTCTGGTAATAATTAATAAACGTTAGTAGAGGTAGACATTAAGAATATTACAAAAAACACAGTAGAAATAATGGAATAAGAAATATTGACAGCTTTGCTGCATATTTAGCAATTTGGCTGCGTGTTTTCCTTGCTTTTGTTTCTTTTATGAGAATATTGCAGACTCCCCCAGATTTATTGATTTTTATTTAAAATACATAATTGTAAATGCAAAAACAAAGAGAAGCAGACATTCTGAAGAAATTAATCTCAAGATAAATGTATGTTTGTCACATCATGCATTTAGAAAACAAGGGTTTTTTTTTTTACATCCACGGAAAAAAAAAATGAAGAGTTACCCAAAAACAGTATTTTCTTGCTCACTTCCATATTTCTCAAACACCTATCCAATTATAAAATAACTTGATTCAGAAAAATATTACCTTTCCTGTTAGAATGATCTCTCTGAGTAGGCCAAGTGCATTGTTTTGAAAAAGATGTTCTACTATCTTACAGCTCCATGGCAATTTGGAATCAATTAACAATACTAAAACCTCCAATAAAGGAATAGCTGATACATTCAATTCCTCAGGAGTCAATAAAAGCTGATCTTTTAACTGATTTCTGTCCAGATAAAAATTAAATAAGCAAGGTAGCATAGAAACCCAAATTAGCAAAAATAAAATACAAGGACTTATAACAGTTATTAAAAATGAATGGTACAGCAAGACAAAGACCAAAGGCAAGATACAGTCCATGAAGATTACAACTTCTAGGTTAACTTTTGATATACTTGCTTATCATCCAATGGGCAACCTATATGCACAAGGAGGGATGAGGCACTATTTATCTAGTGACCATCATATTTGATACTTTTTATGACTTGTGTTTGTCATTATTACAGACGAATAGAAATAGAAAACATATTTTAGGGTTTTGCAATTATTAGGGAAAAAGTAATATAAACCATTTATGACCTTTATTTAATGTCTAGTAAGTTTTAAACAGCTGGCTCTAACATAACATGAGAAACTATAAACCAAGTGGCTTATAATTCAATCCTTGACACCCCTATTCATTCTGCTAATACAGTTGAAACATAAGGTAGATGGAACAATGCTTGTCCAGAATTCAAGTGTAAAGAGATCTTATGTGATGAGTATGCCAAGATATGTAATATAAATCATTCATGTGCCAGCACCTAATAGTCTAAGCTTTTGGAAGAGTTGGTTTAAATAATGAGTATGTTATAACTAGCATTTATCATATTTGCTACATAATGATATGAAAATTGTCAACAACCTCATTTTATCACTTTTTTATTTAGAAGATTACAATTAAAGAGTGGAAATATCCCTGATTCATAGGAATCCAATTATTTAAGTATTGTTATTATATTTCCTAATTTAGCTTTCCAATCTTGTATATATGACTGATGTATTCTGCAATAAAATCATTCAATTCTACCCTAATATTTGAGAAGATGAGATGAAGTATTATTCAGTTCTATCTTTTGTGCATATGTGCACTATTACATTCAACATGGTATCCGAGCTCTCAAATTCTAGAAGCCACCTCTGACTACGCAAACCAAAACCCTAGACGACAACCTTCATTGTTGTCACTCATCCCAAAACCCTAGATGGGAACCTTCATTACTACCACTCATCCCAAAATCCTAAACTGTAGCTTTCATTGACGCCACTCATCCTAAAACCCTAGACGACAACATTCATTATTGTTGCTCATCTCAAAACCCTAATCGGCAACCTTCATTATTGTCGTAATTTAACCTATTATTCCTTGCACCTTGTTTTACTGCTGCCATGATGGATTTAGTTGATACAACAACTAAAATAAAGGATAATAAATCCCAAATTCACGGAGAACTTCAAAATCTCAACACTGCCTACATATTTTATGGGCAAAATTACTTGAAATGGTCTCAGATTGTTCGTAGTACTTTGAAAGGTAAAGGGAAAGTCAACCACTTGACTAATGATGCCCCTAAAGAGGAAGATCCCAAATTTACAAAATGGGAGGAAGAGGAATCTATGATTATGGCGTGGCTGCGGAACTCAATGATTCCAGAAATCAGTGATACTTGCATGTTTCTTAATTCTGCAAAAGAGGTTTGGAATGCTATAGAGCAGACTTGCTCCAAAGCTAAAGATGAGCTCCCCAAAACCGAGACAAGAAGGTGGGGAAAAAAAGGAGACAACACAAGAAAGGGAGGACAGACACATAACTGCTAGAACCAGTGAAGAAAACAAAGGAGAACTGATTCAACTCAATCAGGATGAAATAGAGAAGATGAGATCATTTTTCAACAAATTGGATAAGTCAACAAGTACTTGTTCTCTAGCATATTTAGGTACGTGCGGAAAGTTTCCTTTTGTTTTTGGACTCAATGTCTCAGATAGATTCTATAACCAATATTAGATACTAGATTCAAGTATCATTGACCACATGATACCCCTTCCCAAACAATTCTCCTACGCCCCTTGTCCTAGCAATAAGAAAATATTCAAAGCAAATGGCACTCCCATCAGTGTAGCAAGACAAGGAGAAGTTCAAATAAACTCATTCATAACCCTTAAAAATGTCCTTCATATTCCCAAATTGTCAATTAATCTAATTTCCATTAAAAAGCTCATAAAAGACCTATCATGTAATGTTGTGTTTTGTGATAATGTTTGTATGCTATCGGACAAGCACTTAGGGAGAATGATTGGACATGCTAGAGAATGGAATGACCTCTATTATTTGGACAACTCAAATCTGCCCCCAAGCTTACACAATAACAACAACATTTTTTCCTCTTTTGGTTTAATAAAGACTAATAGGGAGAAGGTCCTTCTACACCATTGTCATCTTGGTCATTCTTCCTTTAGGCTAATAAAATTGTTATTTCCCCTCCCTGTTTAGTAAATAAAAATCCTTCCCTGTTTAATAAATTGAATGTGGAGAGTTTCATTGTGAAGTATGAATTTGCTAAACACAAGTGTGTACCTTTTCCAGTTAGTAATAAAATGAGCACTTCTTCCTTCTATTTAATTCATACAGATGTGTGGGAACCTTCAAACATCCCAAGTGTCTCTAGTGCTCGTTGGTTCCTTACCTTCATAAATGATTGTACTAGGGTTACATGGATTTTCCTACTAAATCAAAATTCCGAAGTCATATATGTTGTTCAATATTTTTTCTAAATGGTAAAAAATTAGTTTGGAATTAGCATTAATAGGATTAGATCCGATAATGCCAGAGATTACTTTAATAATAAACTCAATTCTTTTGTCGTAAGGAGGGTATCATTCATGAGCTGCTTTTGTCAAAACACCCCAGCAAAATGGGATTGCTGAAAGGGAAAATGGACCAAACTCGGGCTCTTCTTTTTCAGCATAAGGTTCCTAAATCCTTTTGGGGAGAAGCTATTCTAACAGCATGTTATTTAATTAATAGATTACCTTCTAGTGTTCTAGCCTCAAAAAGCCCTATGGAGGTTCTTTCCTCTTTCTATCCCAATGTGGCCACATCAAATAACCTTGTTCCAAGAATACATTGGTGTGTATCAGTTGTCCATGTCCATAGTGGTGCTAGAGGAAAACTTGATCCTAGAGCCTTAAAATGTGTCTTTATAGGATACTCATCCGCCCTATAAACCATCCAAAAAATTCTTTGTATCTAGAGATGTCACTTTTCTTGAGCAACAAAGTTATTTCCACCTAGGTCATCTTCAAGAGGAGAGTATAAGAAAGGAAGATGATCCTTCGCTAATGCCTCTTGACTTCAGTCTTGGACCAGAAGTAAGGACTGAAAATGAAATAGAATCAGAGAAGGAGGTTCAACCCATTGTACCCACTAAATCCACTCAAGATGTGGATGATGTAAGATTTGGAAAAATCTTGTTTATACAAGGAAGTCAAAGGCCATTCCAGAATCTATCCATGTCCATGAATCCAATCCAGCATTACATAAGGTAACTACTTTCCTTAATCTTGTAAACTCTAGTGAATCTATCTACTTTCCTTAATCCTGTAAACTCTAGTGAATCTATCTCTGATTTCTCAAATGCACAGGAACCTAAGTCCAGTTCAGCATTACATAAGGTAACTACTTTCCTTAATCTTGTAAACTCTAGTGAATCTATCTACTTTCCTTAATCCTGTAAACTCTAGTGAATCTATCTCTGATTTCTCAAATGCACAGGAACCTAAGTCCAGTTCACCAACTTATGAGGATCTAGACATTCCAATGCTCTTAGGAAACAAACTATAAAATGTACCACCAAACCACAATATACTCTAACCAATTACCTATCTTTTAAACAGTTCTCACATACTCATAAAGCCTTCCTTACAAGCCTAAGCACTACCATAACTCCTACCTCCCTATCTGAGGCATTGACGGACAGAAACTGAAAATTGGAAATAGGCCATGGACTTGGAAATGAAGGCACTAGAAAAGAATAATACCTTGGAATTGGTCACTCTACTAAATGGAAAAAACCAGTAGGATGCTAATGGATATATACTATAACATGCAAGGCTAATGGATCCATTGAAAGGTACAAGGCAAGGTTAGTAGACAAGGAATTCACTTAAACTTATGGAGTGGATTACTTGGAAACATTTGCTCCAGTTGCAAAAATGAATAAAATCAAGATGATATTATCCCTGGCAGCTAATTATGGTTGGGATGTAAAAAATTTCTTCCTCCATGAAGAACTTGAAGAGGAGATTTACATCGAATTGCCCCCTGAATACAGTAAGAAAACTGCTACCAACACTCTTTGCAAGCTGAAAAAGGTAATTTATAGACTAAAACAATCACCACGAGCATGGTTTAGAAGGTTTACTACAGTCATGAGAAGTTAGGGCTTTAAACAAAGCCAAGGAGGCCACACCCTGTTTGTCAAACACACTAAGTCAAGGGGAGTGACAGTGTTACTGGTATATGTCGATGATATTAGTGATAGGTGATGATGAAGAGGAGCAAAAACTGCAAAGCCAACATCTAGCCAAGGAATTTGAAATCAAGACCTTAGGAAAATTGAAGTATTTTTTGGGAATTGAAGTAGCCCATTCAAAAAGGGGAATTTTCATATCGCAATAGAAATACATTACTAACCTATTGACAAAAACTGGTAAGCTAGCATGTAAGCCTGCAAGTACACCGATTGATGCAAATTTGAAGTTGGGAAATGCAAAAGAAGATACAAATGTTGTCAACGAAATGTACCAAAGATTAGTTGGCAGACTCATATTTGTCTCACACTAGGCCTGATGTTGCATTTGCGGTGAGTCTAGTCAGTCAATTCCTGCACCAACCAAAGGAGATCCACTTACGGGCTGCACTAAGAATTGTGCAGTACTTATAAGGGACCCCAAGCAAAGGAATTTTGTTCAGATGAAATGGGAATGTTAGGCTGGAAATATATACAAATGTTGATTATGAAGGGTCAATTGTGAATAGGAGATCAACTACTTTATATTGTACCTTCCTTGGTGGGAATCTTGTAACTTGGAAAATTAAAAAACAGTTGGTAGCAAGATCCAATGTTGAGACAGAGTTCAGGGCAATGGCACAAGGAATGTGTGAATTACTATGGCCGAAGATTATCTTAGAAGATTTAAGAATAAAGAGGGATGAACCAATGAAACTTTATTGTGATAATGAGTCTGCTATTAGCATAGCCCATAGTCAGTGCAACATGATAAAACTAAATACATTGAAGTTGATAGACATTTTATCAAAGAAAAATTAGACAATGATTAGATTTGCACCCCATATATCTCTTCACAAGATAACCTTGCAGATATTCTAACAAAGGGGCTGAATAGCAACAACTTTGAAAGGATTGTTTCCAAGCATCATATTATAGACAATGTTTATCTAGTGACCATCATATTTGATACTTTTTACGACTTGTGTTTGTCATTATTACAGACGAATAGAAATATAAAACATATTTTCGGGTTTTGCAATTATTAGGGAAAATGTAATATAAACCATTTATGACCTTTATTTAATGTCTAGTAAGTTTTAAACAGATGGCTCTTAACATAACATCAGAAACTATAAACCAAGTGGCTTATAATTCAATCCTTGACACCCCTATCCATTCTGCTAATACAGTTGAGACGTAGATAGAACAATGCTTGTCCACAATTCAATTGTAAAGAGATCTTATATGATGAGTATGCCTAGATATGTAATATAAATCATTCATGTGCTTGCACCTAATAGTCTAAGCTTTTGGGAGAGTTGGTTCATGACAAGTTAAATAATGAGTATGTTATGACAAACATTTATCATATTTGCTACATAATGATATGAAAACAACCAAAGTATAGAGATAAAACTGATTTTGTTGTTAATACTAATGTAGTTAGTTATTATAGTAACAAACCACACCAACCACAACAGAGCAAATTTCTTACATAATATGAGTAAATTAGATTTCATGGACAGTGTCATGTTCTTCAGAATATCAAAAAATACATAAAACAAAATATATTCAGAAGCAACGCAAGTTGAACAGGAGAAATCTTCATCAGCATACACAATATCGTAAAAGAATATCAATTTTATGGTCCAAAATGAAAGAAAATGATAAAAACAGACTAGCAGATTTTAAAAAGCCAGAGTCTCAGAAAATTTGTAATTAAAATATGCCATGAAAACCAACCTATTCTGATGCAAAGCATGAAAACAAGCCTGTACAAATTGCTTCACTCGGTAGTTCACCAAAGCACGTGTGGAAGAGTAATCTACCCCTGCAAAAAGTTTCACAACATCCCCTGTTGCAAATATTTAGCTCTAAGCTTAGTGGCAAACACTTAAGGGGGAAAAAATACTAGAAGGAAGCCCAAGAATCTACAATATTTCAAATTGCTTTTCTTCTAGCAGGAGCCATACCTAACAATATTATCATGGTTTTGCCAAACATTTCAATACCTATGTCTTTAAGAGATAATACAGAAAAATATAGAAACTAGAATACAACCTTTGTCAAATGACACCTTCATGAAGAGATCACAGTTTTTCCCCCCAAAAAGTACAATAAAAAAAGGGCTGTAAAATCCTGTCCATGAGAAATGGAAGGCTGGTTTAGAATTACCATTATCCTGAACAAACCACCACAGCAACTGGCATATTTGTACAAGAACTAAAAAATCATCGATATTGTCTGCCTTAAAGAAATAGAGGAACTGGCAGAGGAAATCAGAATCTGGACCAAAAGAATTCCTGAATGCACACGAGACGTTATTTGATTAGAATGGTGCAATTTTCAAGTAAGATCCTACCAAACTAAGCTGCACTATTAATTACCACAAAAGCTTATAAGAAAAGAAAATGAACACTATTCAACAATTATAATTTGTAAAGATAAAAAATTTCACCTGTCCACATTCTGGCAATACTTCCCATATGCTTTATAGAACTGCTCTCGCAACTTAGATTGTTCAGTTTTGACTGCTTTTCTTCCTCTGAAGCATTTCTGTAGCTAGAATCAGTCAAATATTTGCATGACACATAAAATATTTTGATTCCCACCAACATCATGTACCTTTCCAGCAGTAGGGACACATCGTATTAAACTACCACAGTATACACAACACATAAAATACAAATAGGCAGCTAAACTTTAGGAGCTGCACAATTAATATTCAAAATATTTTTAAACATTAAATAAAAATATCATGAAAATAACAAATTGAGAATTGCCAACCATTGCCAAAATTAAAACAAACAAAGCTAAGATTTAATACCCGAACGTAATGCAGGGCACAATATAACAAAAATTATGGTACCAAAATTTCATTACAGATGTGAAAGAATTGAAAGTAATGCGTCAATAAATTACTGGATGCAGGGCACAATATAACAAAAATTATGGTACCAAAATTTCATTACAGGTGTGAAAGTATTGAAAGTAATGCGTCAATAAATTACTGGAGTCAAAACCTTTAAACATTGAAATCTCGAGCAAACAATATATCATTAATGGATTCAGTCAATTTCATACAGCTTGTTACATTGTAACCGTGTAACAACATCAAATAATTCACCATAAATTCTTATTGGTGAGGAGGAAAAAGGAAATAGCAGGAAGTGGACATTTTTTTCATGGTTTTGGGGAGAGGGAAGCATAGGGATGGGAACAGAGTGACAGTGGGAATCAGGATATTGGAAAATTTGTTAAGAGATTTCTCCTCTATTCTGGAACACTAATCCCGTACATAATTTCCCCAAAAAAATGTTTTTTTATTGCACTTAGTGTCCTGAAATTTCTTGGAACTTTCTCTTTCCCCAAAGCTTGAGTGACAGAGAAACTAGTGAAGTAAAGTTGTTTTCTCTTTCACTCAATTGTATATATCTCTACCCCAACTCAAATAGTTAAATTGGAATTGGATTCTTCTGATACATTTAAATGTATCTTCTGTGTCTGACTCACTCTCCTGATGAGATTCAAACATAGACACATTTTGCAAATCTGAAACACCTAAGGTCAAATCATCCATTTTTACAACAAAACAAAATAAAAGAAAAAAGTTTATTACAAATTAGTAGACTTTACACAGCTCTTTCTCCTAATGGTTGCCTCATGAGCAGGTCTAGTTAAAGAAACATTTGCGCATTTATTCCTCCAATGTCAGGAAGGTAACTTGTCATGATCTCATAGGATAGATATAATTTTGGGGTTCTTGGAGAACCAAAGTCATCCTTTCAAATTGGTGCAATTTCTTATGAAACATTTTTAAAGGTTTTGGCAAGAATAAGAAAACAACGCTATCATTATAGCAGTTTGCTGTGTTACAGGTCTTTGCATGTTACAGCAAACAAGTTGGAAATGAGTGCCCAGATCTTCAAGACTGACTTTTTTTGTCCTTGCATCTGTTATGGGAAATGATTGTGTTCATGGATTTTCTTTACTGCTGCACTCAGTTATTTCAACGACGGAATATATATCTCAATTTTAGGTTGCCCTTTTTGTTTTATTTTCCTTTTGGGGAGGACCTCCTACCCTCCCTTAGATGTATTTCTCTTCTTTCTCCAAGATTATATTCTTTTTTTAAGAATAACAATAACAATAATTAGGTCCGCTAATGAATATGATAGCATGGTAAAAGTACCCAAAGAAGCTGGAATCTTATTTATGTGCTTCCTTAATACCAAGGTAATATGACATGTTTACATGCATTGACACTGAATCAGAATACCCATCATCACTTCTTTTATGGTTTTCATTCCTAATAAAAGGAGTCACTTATATATTGCTGCAAAACTTGGGCATACAAACACATTTTGGTTGCTAAACTTCTAATATCCTAGATGGTAGAATTTCAAACAGCAGAGCAATACTTGACTATAGCAACTTAAATTACAGGAGCCAGCCAAACACAACAAGTTCACACCATCAAGCACTACAACGAACAAAATTTAGTGACCAAATTCGACGACTGCAGTATAGAGACAATGATATGCCACCAAGTTACAAGACTAGAAGTTAAAATCAACCAAATGCACTTAAACCTGAATTTTGAGTGCAGAAGAGTTCTGCTGGCGCAACGACAAGCGCCTGTTCCTTTCAACTCGTGTCTGTTCTAGAAGGTTCTTCCGGTCCCTTTCCTTCGAACTGCGGCCGCCCAAATCGACACGCTTCCGCGTAGAAGGATCGCCGCTGAAGAACATTATATATCGTATCTTCTTCTGCTTGACCAATTCATGCCCTAGTTTCCCTTACAACTAAGATCACAGCACACGAAACGCGATCAATTTGCAATGAGAGCTAGCTTCAGTTGGAAGAAAAGGATTTTGTCGAAAAAGTTGCCCTAAAAATGGAGAAAACTGGGAACCGTGTTTTTTGGTGCAAGACCAGAGGAAAGTCTCAACAGTAATAATGAGAATCCTTAATACAATACACAGTTTAATTTGATCAAATTAACAATAATAACAGCATAAATTGAATGGAAAAACCAGTGTTTGTGAATATAAGAACTTGGAATTTTCCCAAGCTTTTCTCCTGTTTTTCCCTCACTTTTTCCAGGAACACTGCCTGTCTAGGAAAAAGTTTATCAAGAAAAGAAAAAAAAAGATTTTTTTTTCACCAAATGATCAAAATTCTTTAAAAATAAAAATATAAAAAGTTTATATTCTGGTTTTACACTGGTATTTGCACCCCATGCATGTGCTGTTCACTTCACTGTTTTTCATCTTCAATTTCTTCACAATTTTATTTGAAACTACACAGGAACCTAGGCGTAAAATTTATGCGTCACAATTTTTGATAATTTTTTTTTATATAAATATATTGTTTTCATTAATTAGTATTATAATTTTTCTTTTTCATTTTTTTATTATTTTTTAAATATATAAAACATAATAATTTTTTAAAAATTTTAATATTTTTCTTTTTCTTTTTTCTATCACACTAACAAATTACTATAAAAAAATCTCTTTATATAATTATAGATTTTTTTTAAATTAAATAAGTTTTTTTGTTAAATTAGTAGGGAGTATTTTTATTTTTAGTACCTATATAGAGTTTATTTACAAATTTACCTATTCTCCTCTTTGTGTATCAACTCATCCTTTTGTTCTACAAAAATTACCAAATTTTCAATTTGAGTACTTTGTTGTTGTTTTTTTTTTTAGACTATTCCTATATATTTTAGTTTATTTCAAAAAATATATAAAATTTCCAAACGATATAATAAATATTTTAATAATAAAAATATTATTGAGTTTAACTAAATATATGTCGGTGCATAGCAAGGATTAATCTAGATAAAAAAATTTACATAGTCATTTCAAATATATACTAATCTAGAAAAAAAAAACTTGTTTCAATCTTTAGTGTTTGATGCTATTACATGAGCCTTCAATCACATGATCCAGAAAAAATTAGGAGATCGATTAGATTGAGGATTAAAAATAAAGTTAAACGGGCCCGAAGCCCAAAATTCAATTGAAATTCTATCTATTCTGAGCTCTATAAGTAAAAATTCATTGAGAGTGATAAATTTAAATAAATTTATTTATTTAAAAAATAAATAAATAAAACTCATATGCTTGTTAAATTTCAAATAATAATAAATAATGTATTTGAGATAATATGGTGTTCATATTTATCTGTGAAAAAAAAAAAAACTCATGTGAATTGTTGACAAAAGAATGAAATCCAACAATAGTTATATAAGTTAAATAAGTATTTAGCTTTTCAGAATTTCAAATTGTGGTTCCTATTAAAAAAATAGATAATTTCTATCTTATATTTTATTTTTTTTCGTCCGTAATTATGTGGTTCTATTTTTATAAAATACTCATGAAACTAATTGAGTAATAAAAATAAAAAATAAAATTTAAAACTTGTTTGATTTTTTTTTAAGTATTTGTAAAAATAAGTTGAATATAACTTTTGATAACTCTAATTTAATTATTTTTAAATAATAAATAACTAAAACTTTATGAAAACAATTAAAAAATATATTTTAATAACATCATGATAAAGAAGAAGGAAGAAATCATTTAATTATTGATAAGACAGATATAATTAGTGAAACTTAAAAAAATAAAATCCAAAACACCTTTTATTTATTAAGTTTTAAAAACTAAAAAAATAAAAATATTTTTGAAAAATAATTATAATAAAACTACAGATTATTTTTAAAAATAGTAATAATTAAGTCCTTGAAACTGGTTTATTTATTATTTTAAAATAATTTAAATTTTTTATTATCTAAAACCAAAAATTTAAAATTAATGAAAAATATTTTATTTTTTATTTTTATCAATACTATTTATGTCTTTGTCCATAACTATATGCTATATTATCCACATTTATCATTGTCAAGTTATAAAAACGTTTTTCAATTCACCTTGTAACTTTCTATAATGATTAATACCATCTTTTTACTCGTTTAAAATAGTTTTAAAACTATAATTATCAAGTGATTTTAAAAAAATATCTAAAATTATTTTTGAAAACTAAAGGTTAAAATTAAATCAAACAAATCCTTGAATTGTGAAATTTACGTGATCGAGCATAAATCTATTTCGTAAATAGTTGACCAACAAAATAATTTTGCTAAGGTCAACTATTGTTCCTATTAGGTGTTACTGCAAAATAACAGACAAATTAATCATGAGTGATTCGTTCTGATTCAATGATCAACACAACATTAACCAAAACAAAATCATAATTTATAGCCACAATGCTTACCTAGCTGACTCACTAAACATTGTGAGAATGCAATATTTTGTTATTTGACCATTTTATTATTTTGACTTATTTTAACCGTATCAGGTTGCTTAGAAAAGAGGTTTTGAAGTTGAATGTGAAAAATTGACAGGTTTATATACCTTGCAAAGTCTTGGGCATAGATGAAAGCTCCATCTAAAAAATATATATTTTTTGGTAACATTTTAAACACCATTTTTCCATTTATTCTCTTTCTTTATTTTTATCTTGGAATAAGTTTTTACCATCCTAATCATATTTTAAGAATACAAGATGGTAAAAAATGTGTATAAATTTTAGCATTGGAAAAAAGTTTATATTTTTATAAATGTAAGTCATAAAATAGACAGTTCCAAGTAATAACTTTTTGAAAAAGTGATGTCATTTTTTTTAATATTTACTATTTAAACAAGTTTAACTCACACTATAATAATAATAATAATAATAATAATAATAATAATAATAATAATAATAATAATAATAATAATAATAATAATAATAATAATAATAATAATAATAATAATAATAATAATAATAATAATAATAATAATAATAATAATAATAATAATAATAATAATAATAATAATAATAATAATAATAATAATAATAATAATAATAATAATAATAATAATAATAATAATAATAATAATAATAATAATAATAATAATAATAATAATAATAATAATAATAATAATAATAATAATAATAATAATAATAATAATAATAATAATAATAATAATAATAATAATAATAATAATAATAATAATAATAATAATAATAATAATAATAATAATAATAATAATAATAATAATAATAATAATAATAATAATAATAATAATAATAATAATAATAATAATAATAATAATAATAATAATAATAATAATAATAATAATAATAATAATAATAATAATAATAATAATAATAATAATAATAATAATAATAATAATAATAATAATAATAATAATAATAATAATAATAATAATAATAATAATAATAATAATAATAATAATAATAATAATAATAATAATAATAATAATAATAATAATAATAATAATGTTGGTTGCATTCTCATCTTCATTTGAAGTGAATCTGCCATTCGTGACAAGTTCAATATAAAATTTTCTGGTCCACAAAAATATACGGAGCCAAGCCCAAAAACCTTTGAGTTACTGCACAGTGTGTTCACTAAATCATGATGGTGTTTCATCAGTTAAGGAAACTCAGTTACAGATGTAACAACCTTATTGACCAGTGTTTCTCAAACAAGCAATAACAAAAGATGAGGACAAGAAGATCATCGAGCATTGAGAAGAGTAACATCATGCAAGATGACAAATAACATGCAACCAAAAAAAATAAAAAATAAAAATGGCAAACCTAATTATGAAAAAAGATTAGAGCTATCTAGCCATGAAAAGAGAGAAACCAGAAAGGAATTTACCAATCATGGCATAATGGGGGGAGTTTATTAGCATTACAAGAAAAGTAAAGCAACGAGTTGAACAAATTTGAAGTAGAAAATAGTGTTTCAAAAGATATGTCGTTTTTACAACGTGGAATTGAATTGATAAGTGCCATTGAATCTGGACTCGCTACATAGCTTTCTCCAAATCTTGTTCGTATTTTTTTCCACAAATTTCAAGACTCTCATACGTCACTTTCTCAAGCTTTCTCTTGTCACAACTTGTGTTGTTCCACCCCCAGCTCGTCTTAATCTTCATCTTTTCCTTCTTTATCTTTATCTTCTATCTTCGTCCTTCTTCCATTTTCGTATTGTCCCCATCCTTCGCCCAAAACAAAAATTCCACCTTAAAGTATAAAAAGGAAAATATCATAATTTATGTCGTATATATTTATAAGTTCTTATAAAGTGTAAATAATTTTTTTTAAGTAAAAATAGTAAATTTAGAAAATAACTACAAATTTATTGTTTTAAGATTTTGTATTAAATATATATTGTTTTTCTAATTAATTAAACAGCTATTTCATTTGAGATAAATAAAGAAATTAATAAGAATCTCCATTAAAGATTAAATTAAGATACGTATCTCTAGCAATAAGTTATTATTGAAAGTACCGGTGGTTAAGAAATATTTCCATATCAATGATTAAGAAATATTTCTGGTTTAAGTGAAAGATTGTTTCTATATATAAAAAATATACTTTGAGAGAGAGTGTTAGAAGTCATATTGTCTTTTTAAGGTTTAAGATAAAATACAGTGTGATATTTTCTTATATATTTATATTGTCTTTCTTGATTTTATTTTCCATTAAAAAAATGTTAATGTTTATTAAGAATCAAGAATAATAATAATTTATATAAAAAAATTCTTATAAAAATATTTTATATATAAACTCAAACTTAAAATTGATGATTAATCTAACTAAGTAGTAATTTTTATTTAATGTTGGACGTGTGGATATATTTTTTTAAAAAGCGAGGTTATCTTATTTTAATTTAATACAAAATCATATTAGATAACTCAAGATTAAAAAAAAAAGTAATTAAAAAGAAAAAAATAAAAAACCAATCGATCCTGTAGAAAATCTTGCATAAAATTAATTAAGGGTTATTACAAATATAGACTTATTTTTTTATTTATTTTATGGTTTTCCATTTAAAAAAAAAACTCTTTTTACTCTTCAAATGACTCGTATATGATCAAAAATCTTTAACTAGAAAATAGTTTATATTCTGGTTTTACAAGAAATAACTAGAAACGTGAAAAGAAACAAAAAGGAAGCTAAGTGTTGTCATAGGATGATCTTATAATGGCATATGAGCATCCATATATAATTGCTAGGGGGAATGTACGTTTGATGAGTAGGCTTTGTATTGGATCCAAGTAATTAAAAAGACACATTCGATAGTTACCATTGATGCTGGTCAATTTTGCACCTGATAACGTAATGACCAACGTTAACGGTTATCTAAATAATCTACACTTTCATTTCTCAATCTTTCGTCCAAACCTACCAAATCTTTCATACACAACACACATGTACACCCTAATCTAACACAACCCTTTGTGCCACCAATCACAACTCGACATCACCCATGCACCAGATACGAATACTTTCAACCAAAGATCTCGTCTTGCAACCTTTCCTTGAAAAAAAAAAGAAGAACCAAATCCAATCATATACACATAAATCTTGGATCTCAATAAAAGCTCACCAAACCCAAAAGTGGGTTTCAGAAACTAAAATTAACGCATGTTAATGGTCCCCCACATAGGCCCTAGTTAAACTATAGACATGTGTCATGGGATGGCATTGTTACTGTGCACGTGGCCTCCATTCAAGAAACCTCTCCATATAACCCATCATGGTGTGAACTCCAACCTGAAAAGGTAACTAGATAATGGCAACCCCTCTAATTTTGAGCATTCAAAACAATCAAAAACGTTGGAAAGAAGAGGATATATACATATGCAAGTTGATGACATTAAATTAACCAAGACCAAGCTTATAAGGTATTATTGTTATGATTATGAAGATGGTGGTGGACATTTTCAATTTGAATAGTGAGTGCAATGAAACATACAACACGCTCTGGCAGGACTCACGAGGGCTGCTATTGCGAATCGTGAACCAAGCACTGATTATTAATTTTATGTGATTTTGTTGCGAATGTAGAGTTGGAAACCAACATAGTTACGTATATGATACAAAAACTGGCAAAGACCAGGGAACACAGATTCATTCTTGGAATTATAATATTGCTTTGCAACCTTAATTATTTAGTTCCTAAACCCTAGTGTGCGTGGAAAGGACACGACAATGGTGCTCATCTTTTTCTTTTGTGTTTTGCTTTGGCGGCTTCTATTACCACGTTTATTATGCCATGTTTGGATTTCTTCAAGTTTTCTTTCTGCCATATTCTCACCAAATTAATGTTCCTGTTTGTTTGTTACTCACGCTTTCATAACGATGGACTATACTAGAAGCCAACAATTGCAGATGAACTTTGATTGGCATATGCACTTAGAAAATATAGCCTTCAGTTAAAGATAGCCCCCACACAATAGAAGGGAGGAGGGGACCCCTTCTCGTTTTCAATACAATATCTGCAAGAACATGTTTCACACTGCACATAATGGTTAACTAGACTTAGTACTTTAACATATGCATTAATTTAAACAGTACTTGTTCACATCAATTTAATTTAGCTTTTTTTTTTTGTTTTCTTTAAAAGATCTACGTGTCCCCTACTTTTGCTGAAATGTATAATTTACTACACTTACATACTATCTTATTATTTGTATTAATTTCATTCATTTATTTTTTATAAAAATATTAATTAAAAGAATTATTTTAAATATATATTTATAGGAAAAAAACTATTTGAACACTTGATTTCCCTCAAACATTCAATCTACAACCTATTTTAATATTATAATAATAGTTTTAAATATTTTTATTTTCATCTTATCCTTTTACCGTTATTATATTAATATACTACAGTTGTTTTTTATCAAGTTGTCAATATATCAGGATTCATATTTATATCTAACCTAAGTTATTTAAAATAAGAATTAAATGTAAAAATCAAGAGTTATAAATTTTAAATGTATGGGTATAATAAAGTAAAGAGTAATATATATATGATTAAGAAAGAGAAATACGAGATCATCCATTAAGCTAGACACAGCATTATATAACTTAATTCACACTTACGAACGATCTCCTTAGTATATGCCTATCATGTGCTATTTGTTTTGCTAGTATACTATGAACATGCTTGAAGCTTCTTTATTACACAAATTTAGAATTTTTTTCATAAATAAAAAATAATTTTTGCTTAAACTAATTTGTAAAAATATTTTCAAATTTAATATTTAATTTATAAATAAGTCACTTTTATTTTTTTTTCTTACAAAAAGTCTTCTAGAAAACCTTGTCAAAATGTGAAAAAGTTGTAACCACATCAAATAAAATTTACATATCTACACGAAGCTTGAGTGCCTTAATGGGCGAGGCGAAATGAAGTTGGTGAACAATAATAAAGAATTCCATAATTTAAGCATAGATTGCATTTGAAAGTGGTCAATATAGTGTGCATAGGCATTAGATTAAAGTCTAGTTTTGGCTTAAGACAAGACATCACATAAAAATCCTTGCCAAATAATTGCAATGTGCATCAACTAAATGGTAAAATATGTCAAAACAATGGATTGTTCAGTTTTCCTTCTCTTTCTTTTTTTCATTTTCTTTTTTTCTTTGATTGAGTTGGGGTGCTTTCTTTCTACTGTTCTTCACCTTTTATACCTAACATAAGTATACAATATTCCTAAGAGGGGAGAAAATACACGCTTTGGCTCAAATTCAAAGAGGTCAAAGATTAGGGAGAAGGGGAAAAAAGGGTAACAATCAACAAACTCTGTAGGCAATTTGGGTCAAAGACGCTTCGGATGATAATGCAAAGGCCAAATTAAGATAATTAATTGTACATTGATGAACTACTAAAAAGTATAGTCCCTTTTAAATTTTGATTTGAAAATGTTGCAGAACCTCACAGAGGATAGTGTTTGTTTTGCAATTTGATGGAGAACGCCGTCCATAGCAGAAAAGTCAACGCCATAAATCCTTAAAACCCGGCAATCTTTTGACCAAATAACAGGAACCTATGGATCATTCAAGTGTCACTCTCATTCAACCCAAAATATTCCTAGTGCCATGCTTCCCACCAATGTCACCAACTGTGAAATTCAATTTTCACTCACTGATTATTAGTTTAAGCATAGATTTATCAGTTTTAAGAGATGGGTTGGCATAGGTGTCCTTTTATGGCATAATCACTGCTCACTAATGCTATTATATCAGCAAATTTTATCACTTTCTTTGACATCTTCTTTCTTCTGATAATATCTTTGCACATATGCCATTTGTACCTAACAAAGAATATAGGTTTGCAATTGCAACTAGTGCTTAAATTTTCCAATTAAGAACAACAATCATGGTATATATTTTCAAAGTATATACCATTATTTTATAGTAACCACATCTTTTCCAGTTCAGATTCTGAAGCAAAAAAGTATGCAGAAAATGAATAATCAGTGTGACCTAAACTTCAAACCCCTTTTTTTGTGTCTTATTATCTAACATATAAACAAGTGGAAGATAATGACAATTAAATTACTACAGTACTGTTAATGATTATCATAATTAAACCTAATTGGTGGGGCTTGACAATGTGATCCTCAAAAAGTGTTGTATATGATGGGAGGCTAATGGCACGTGTCGTAGATATGGGTTAGAATCCGTCATCCAACTAAACTTCTGACTCCAGTTTCCTTGTGGGGTGTAGGAACAACTCATCCTTCCAGAATTCCTACACACCCTGTCTCTTTAGCAGAAACCCCTTTTCACACTCTTTCAACCACACAAGTCTCCCAACATATTATTATTATAATACTCTGAAACTATTCTAACATCTTTATCACCCTTTTCCTTCTTCTAATTGATTCCTAGAGCTTATGTAAATCAAAGAATAATCAACATATTTCTCTCATAATTAATAGTGTTGTTTCAGTTCTAATACAAATTTAACAACGTAAAACCATATGAAATAGATT